TCTCTCTCTCTCTCTCTCTCTCTCCTAATTTTCCTTTCTGCTTCTCCTATACGTCACTTATAGCGTTCGCCTAAGTCTCTCATTCGTTTCATTCTCTTTCACGTTCTCGTTAGAGATTTCGATCACCAAATCATCAGTAGCGTAACTATTTCTTTGGAACTTCATTGAACTGATCGATTTGTGAAAATTTAGATTCTCAGACTTTCGTTCGCTCATTTGGAAGCTTTCACGGCAAGCAACTTTCACTCTTATGTCAGCCACTTTGCGTCACTGTTCTCGAGCATTCGTTTCAAAGCGGCTTACATAGTAGATCATGTTCTTTTACAATCGCATAGTCTTCTCTCCATCGATGCACGATATTCATCAAATGCAGAAATCAAACACGATAAATTCATTAGAGAGAGAATGATCAAATTATCGAAAATTGGATTGTTTGTACAGCATACGATCTTGATACTTGCATTTTTGCGATTCAAGTACACAGAAGGCGTCCTTCTACCTCCTGGCTCTCATTCCATCGCTCTTCCTTCAACTTTCAACAGCTTTGAAATGACCATGAAAAACGCTGGCTTCTGATCGCGAACTGAGCATGGCTTGTAGCGACATTCCTTTTTTTTCTTTTTCTTTTTAGAGAATCGTGCGAATGAGATCGTACATTGGTCGAATCGCATGCAGCTTTGCTTGTACACTGGACTGCGTTTACACTGCTACTCGTGTAGAACAGTAAATTAACCTTCACGTGGTATCGTTGTATCATGTATTCCCGTAATAATTTATTAAAATAATTGATTTATTGAATATATATTTATACAGTGATATTATACTACGATATAATAATATTGAAATATTGATTTACTTGGACTTACTGAATGATTGATTGCTACACGCCTATAGTAATCTATTTATTGATGAAATTTTGAACAATTAATTTCACTTTGTATTTTACAGCCTTTCTGGCATAGATTAGGAATAAAATTTCAAAGTTGACCCTCTGTAACTTTATGTGAGTTACACGCACACATTTTAAAAATACTTATTGCTTCGATATACAATTACAGAAATACGGTTACAAATAATTTATTTCTAACAGACTTTAAATTGGAACAAGTAACTACAATTAATTGATCACCTTTTTCTTCAATAAATAAACGAAACTCTGGATTACAGAGGATTAAATAAAATTTAAATTATTATGGCTCCTAATGCTCAATGATACCATTCAAGGGTTGAGCTTAATGACAGATGTTCTAAACTGTCGACATCGTCGTTCACGATCAAATCATTAATATCAAATCACATGATCTTTGGAACGATCGATACTCAACGCGTGTCGCGTCGAGTTTCACGAATTCGAGACTATCTGCGTTGAACAAAGCCCGAATGAACGTTATATCATTCCACAAACCTACATCGAAAGAATTTTTGGCTTTTCGGGAGATTTCTTTTTTTCTTTCAAACGATATGTGTTAAGCGCGGTTCCATTTTTTCCTTTTTTTTTTTTCTTCTCTCGTTTCTAAAGAGCTTTAAACGCGCGCAAATGGGATTTTCAGTAACAGTGTAAACAGACCTTTGAACGGAACTATGCGTCGAATGACGACTCGCTTCCATCGTGTCGTTTCTCTCACGCCAGACAGCCGATAGAATTCTTTCTCTTTCGCTTCTCTACTCTTCCGGAGCAAGTACGTTTCACAAAAGACAGGACGGTAGAACGACGACCGAGGAAAATTTTATGCAACGTTCGCGAAACACACTTTTTTCCTTTTTCTCTCTCTATCTCTCTCTCTCTCTCTCTATCTATCTATCTATCTATCTGTCTGTCTGTCTTTCTCTTTTTTTTCTTTCTTTACAAAGAAAACGCCGTTTGTAACATCACGATTCACGGCACGATTACTTTGTACCACTCTCTCGCGTAATACACGCGACCACGTGATTCCCACCCTGGATGGTAATTATTTGCACACTGTAGACGTTTACACGGAGGCGAGACGCGTTCAATTACAACACAACAGAAAGAAATAACGAAGGGCGTAACAAATGTGTACAGATGATTATTGTGGAAAATGTCGAAGAGGTTTTTCAACAGGTAAAATGATTCCATTATTGGAATGGAGTAATTCGAGGAAAATGAGTATTAAATACTCTTTGCTAAACTTGTTTCGGAGAGGAGATACAACTTTTTAATTTTTCTTAATTTTTTGATATCTAAGTATCAAAAAATTATATAATTTAATTGTATTTTTTTTTTCTATATATGAATATCAAGAACTGCAAGATTATACAGACATCAATTCATTCGAATGTTGAAAATTTTAAAAACGACGATAAATAATTTTCCTATTTTTTATTTCTGTGAAAAAATAAATATTGAAAAATACGCTTGTGAGAGGATAATTGAAACGAAGCAAATTCAATGGTTTTGATAATAGAAACGAAGTCCAATGTGAGTTTGAAATTTTCGTCTTAAAGAAACGGTACGTAAAACGAAATCTGAGATGATGAGTGTTATAATTATTCTTTCAACAAACAGCATTTCAGATGCCAACATTCGAGTACACCACCCTACCATTTCATTATCTGAAATTTCATTTATAAATAAACATAAAACATAACTTTACAACCCATTAATAATCAAATATTCACAATGAAAGATAAGAAATCCTTTAATAATTTTAATGGATAAAGTGTCAAATCACCAAATGATCCTTTTTAGACACGTAGCGAAAATGAAACTACTACTCCCATCTAAATATTTCACGTCTCCGATGAATTTCAACAAATATTTTTTAAATCTATCACTCTCCATTCAAACTTTCACCCCCCCCCTCCCCTCCTTAAATATGTAGCCTAATCCTAATAGATAATTCAGATCTTGGACAAATTTCACCAAGTACGAACACTCATTTCAAAATTAATCATTTTGTAGTTTTCATTGTTCTCAGCCTAAATCAATCCAAACCAACTCGCATACCCATATGCAGCGTAAACACACATTGGTAGTTCACCCTTATCACGAAGAGCACCGTCCACACAACACGAAAAGAACAATGTCACCCCTTTCCAATTGCACGCGACGAAAGCAGCGTCGACCTAACGCGCGAACCATTGGATTTCCAGTACTACGCTCCGGCAAACGCGATTGGCAATACCGAGGGCGACCAGGTACACAGCAATACGCATACCCAGGTGTAAAGTACCTGGACGAGAGCCCAGGCGAGTCGCCCGCCATCTCCCTGCCCACGCCTCCACCGCCGCCGCTGATGGCGGCCCTGCCTCCGCCGCCGCCACCGCCGCCCAGAAGACCGCCACGAAGAAGCGTCACCTTCGCGGAATCACCGCCCAAGAGCCCGAAGAAGTCGAGGTTCTCGCCGTTCGTGCGTAGGCCGAGCATCACGATGCTCGACATCGCGGTGCCGTGGACTCCAGCTTCGCCGCGCGTCTGGAGCGGTCGTCCTGGCGACTACAAACCCGAGTACATCACGTAAAGGAAAAAAAAAAAAACAAAGGAAAAAGAAAGAAGAAAACAAACGGAAGCAACAATAAATCACAAAGCACGAAAGCTCCTGTCCCGAACCGGCTGGTCAATCGGTTCGAAACGGTTCGATCGGCCGACAAACATCCAAAAGTCTGACAAAGATCCAAAAAGATCCACCAAATGAAGTCCAATGAATCCCGAGTAACGCGTTTGCCGCTAGTCGAATCTCCGCGACGCTCGACTTTCTCGGCGCCTCCCTCGGCGCCTCCTCGAGCTCCGCGTTCGCGAGACGCTGAGGACCTCGTTCGTCCTCGTTGTTGGCCGCGTTCCCAAGTTCCTCGAATCGTACTGCCAGACACGTGATTTTTCAGCACCCGCGGACGTGTCGAGTCCTTTCCCCCGAACGAAAAAAACTGTTGTTCCGCGTTCCTTTCGCGGAAGCGGAGCTAAAGCGGAGGCCGAGGGACGTTCTCGAGAGGAACGCAAAGGAGCCGTGTGTGTGTGTGTGTATCACGGCCGATCGACGAAGATTCTTAGTTATCCGCGTTCGTTTCTCACTTACTCGATGGAACGAACGATGGAATGGCCCTCGGCGTATCTTGCGTATCTTCGTGGTAGCGGCCGTGTTTGTACATTGTATATATTACGTATTGTAATCGAATAGAACGAGGCGAGTCGAAGGTGTGAAAAGAAAAACTACGGAGAGAAGGACAACACGGACGACCGGCTACCGGCGACGAGAACAGGTCGCGAAATTCGATAGTAGAATCCGATGGTCCTGGGGTGGGTGCATGTGCAACCAGCAACTCGAACTAACATACTCAACTGCCATTTTCCGTGAGAGAAAACCCTGTCGATACACGCGAAACGCGAAACACGTACGCGCAGCACATATATGTATAGGTGTACCTCGCAAGTGAGGATATTTCGCGGATCGATCGAGAACGACGAGAAAGTAATTTCGAAGGAGGGAAACGAGGAAACGCGAAGGAAGGGAATTCCGGAAGGAAGCAACTGTCTGATGATATCCTGAAAGGAGAGTACGAGCGAAGAACGAAAAAAAAAATAAAATAAAAACGGAACAAAGAAAAGTCTCAGGAGAAGCTTAAGAACAGCACCGTGCAAGAAAGGAATACCGATCGACCGCGAACGTGACACTATTATTATTATTATCATTATTCTGATTACTATTATAACCACGACGGTTAAGTTTTTATTACGGATTACGGTTCGTTGTACACCGTTGTGTAAACTATTTTGTGGATCTCGCGAGAATGGATACTCACGTTGCGTAAAGAGATAAAAATAGGAAGGAAGGGGAATAAGAAGCAAGGAGGCAGCGAGCGACAGAGAGACAGCACTGGAGCCGCGATACGTTTTTTAACTGACGAGAGAATGGTGTATAATCACATCGATGCGTGAGTAC